CTGTTACATACATGTGGTGCTTTCAATCTACCCCGCGCCAATTTTTCTTTACAAACAAATTGAATTTTTTTACCATTCTCCCATTTGCAGCATCAAAGCTTGTAATATTTACAGAAAATTGTTTCTATCACTAACTGTAGGCAGGTTACCCGTTTTTATGATTGATCAAATTCAACTGTATAGCTAAAACATATCGTACCTGGGAACCTTTATTTTTTTACAAGTTCTTCATGAAATGCCAGCTGCCATGATATATCGAACATAAAAGATGCGGGTTTCTTGTATATCATAATTACTAATTGACAAGATGCAATCGGGGAAATTATCAAGTATATTAAAAGTGAAAGTGAAATCCGATCTTATCTACAGTGTAAATTTATCGACTGGTGATAATTTCTATATTAATACATCGACTAAAGATACTCGATCAATCTATAAACATATTAATGCAATGTTTTTAAAGTGTCTCATAATTATTATGACATTTGCTTGCAAAATGCCAGACTTGTAATATTTTTCATCGTAAATCAATTACTTTGCATGATGACTGCCAGATTCACCCACAACGAGGTGTAGCACAATTTAATTTTGATACGAATAAGTAAAGTTTCATTCAAAGTTGAAGTCAAGCATGAACAGAGAGAGAGAGAGAGAGAGAAATGGGGATTAACGTCCACTCGACACAAACTAGGTCATTTTGGGACTAACATATGGTTCAATTTTATTTCAGTAATTCGCTTGCGTGTAGGGGTCTTTAGCAGTGGGAGGAAACTGGAGGACCTGGACAAAACCCACAAGGTTGGATAGGCAACCCTACACCTTGTCACATACAACTGGGAAATCGAAACCAAGCCAGCTGACTCAATAACAGACCTTATGATATAGCACGCATGTGCTAACCATTCAGCCATCCAAGCCCCCAAGATAAATTGCAATTCTATTACTGATATATCTGAGCTTTTATGAAAGGTTATCATCTACTAAATGATCTATAATTTATGAGTCAGACAAATGATGTAATGAAACCAATTTTATGGTTTATTTATCTTAATAAGCTCTGGGAGTCCTAAAACAACACTAGTGACCTGACAAACGTTGTTAGAGAGAGAGTGAGAGAGAGAAGTTGGAGGACCCAGAGAAAACCCATGAGGTTGGACAGGTGACCCTATTCCTGGTCACGTACAACTGGGAAATTGAAACCACACCAGTTTACTCAATGACAGACCTTATGATACAATGTGCAGTGTATTTTGCTGATGACGTGTCAATTAGTATAAAGTGCATGAAATATCCCTGGACTATTCTCCTCCTGGAAAGTGTTAACTTTTTAAAATTAATTTTAATTTTAAGATACTACTTTGGTCCCCACAAGAAAAAGATCGACAGCCCTTGCCATCTCCTTTGCCTGACAAAAAATCCCTATAAACATCACCAAACTATTCTCCATTGGGAACATAAAAAAAACTTGCAGGAAATCAATGGATCGAACTTTTGAAAGCTAAATTTGGGAATAAGTAATAATTTTGGAATCTATGTCCTAGCCACAAGGAAAATCTCAACCATGCTTGTAAATGTTCTCCAGATAATTAAAACATTACAAAAGTTTCTTTCTGTCCTGGTATTCGTGACTTCTATTTTGTCAGAATTAACCTACATACATACATGGTTCCGCTATGTACACCACAAATTTGAGGTCAATGTCAGTTTGTTGTGGTTCCATTCCAACCCCCTTCATAATGTTAAGTAAAGTCTGAATCTGGTTGAGAATCTCTTGTAATTCTATCAATTAGAACAGATTGGTTGTAAAGAGTTGCCGAGATCAATAAAATTCTAGTTAAAAAGCTTGAACAAGGAGAAAGTAAACCATCCGAACATGGCATGTAAGACTTCAAGTCTGTCAAAACCGTGTTTTCTTATTACGAATTCACCATTATTTGGCCAATTATGTTGGAGGGAAAAGTAGGCATAACCAGCGAAGAGTTTCAAAAGCTATAAGAATGTAGTGTGATAAATAAATATTTGAAGCATGTATAAGTTTGTTTGGTTTTAGAGGAAGAGAATAAACAAGTTCACCTTTTCTGATGTGTTTTAACATGTAATATTGCCTGCCTGATTAGATTTGATTGGCAGAAACAGATTATTAAATGTTAACGTCTATTACAAGAACAAGGTATACCAATTAAATATACGGACAATTGGATTCCTCTCATTTCCTACTTATTTGAAGGAAAGTTAAGTGACAGCTTACTGCAATAGGAAAAAAAATTTTAGGATTTCAAAAATCTTTTAATAAATTATTTTATAAATTCTAAAAACTGTTGTCAGATAAGCCTTGTTCTTGGTAATTTTGTTATTCTTCTTGTAGCAATGCTCTTAAACAAGAACCTAATGATCTACAATTTTGAATACGATTAACATGAAATGAAATGGGGTTTAACGTCCTACTGCTCTGTTCTGACTGGGCTAATGAAGACGGGTATATGCCATACAGTGTGCTATGAGGGAAATTTTGTCAGGACAGTGGCCACAAACTAGGTCATTTCTGGACTAACATATGGTTTAATTTTTTTTTCAATAATTCGCTTGCACGTAGGGGTCTTTAGCAGTGGGAGGAAACTGGAGGACCCGGAGAAAACCCACGGGGTTGGACAGGCGACCCTACTTCTCACGTAAATTATATATCAATAAATATGAATAAATGGTTTTGTATTTGATACAGGTAAATTCGCAGGTAAATTGTTTGTTGTAAATTTATGGTATAAATGAAAGTAACAATGGATGACAACTAGAAAAAATCATTCAAGCAGAAACATCAACTGAAAGAAATATTCAAAAGAAAGACTCCCCAGAGGGTGGCAGCTTTCAAAATCTGACATTTGTCAAAAGTTATTACCAGAGCCTACTTTTATAACTTTGGTTATAATTGAAAAGAAAGTTGACTTTTTTAAAAGCACAAATTAAAAGTAGAAGACATATGTCCACCCCTTGTTGGTGATATCCGTCAATTAATGTAAAGCTGTATTTATCTTTATAAAGTTAATTACGTTGAACGGAACCAATCATGTCAAATCAGCAGCTGTTAGATTGAAGAAAATATAAGATTAACATAGCCAGGTTCATGTCTTTTATAATTGACAGGGGAGAATTTTTATATTTAATTGATATGGAATTATCTCAGTGATTACAGATATACATGTAGTTGGCTCATGGTGAGATTATACAATGTATAAGCTTTCTATTAACTAAATTAGCTGTGGGCTATCAATTTTAAAATCTTTCACTCCTTGAAAACCAAGATTGCTGCACTGATTTATCCAATGGAATTTCTACATAACCGTTCTCTGAACAGGAAGCTCTTGATTGACCTGTTTAGACTACTCAATAAGTAAAAGTTCTGTTCTTGGAACTGTTCCTGACACGCTTAAAAGTGGTAAACAGGATTTTTAGACATGTCCCAATGACAGCAAGCATTGTATATGTTTATTGATGTGTTTATTCCAACCAGAATATAATGTCCCATCCCAATGACTACACAGCTGCCTTGTCAGGCCCTAGTAGATAAGATAAAACTGACTAAAAATATGAAAAGTTTGTAACTATTTGGTCTGTTGACTCCAGGTAAAGTGCATCCACACAGCAATGTTTTATTACATCAAAGGTTCTTATTGCTAGTCATGTATAAATTATCTTATATCTACTAGGTACACTACATTAAACACTGCCCAGACCCTACATCACTAAAAATACACCAATAATTATTTTCTTTCAAAATATGGGGGGACTTACAAAGAGAGGTTATTTTACTACTGGCAGGAGGTTGAAGGTTTATGTTCCAAGAACAGCTTAAAAATGCACCAGATGCTTCTATCCTGTGACCATTTTAGATGCTCATAAAACTGTGATGTATACTTTAATGTCCTTGATTGTGCATTTCCTATCTCGGTACTCTTTATATGTAGGTAATTTAATTATAAGCATCCATAATAAATGATGTAGACTATGGTGGTAGATATGGATTTATATTCAAGATGTCTGGATAAACAAGTGTAAATATATATATATAGAAAGAGAAATGGGGGTTAACGTCCACTCAACACAAACTAGCTCATTTTGGGACTAACATATGGTTCAATTTTATTTCAATAATTTGCTTCCGCGTAGGAGTCTTTAGCAGCGGGAGGAAACAAGAGGACCTTAGAAAACCCATGAGGTTGGACAGGCGACCCTACCTTTGTCACTTACCTATTCTTAGTAGTTACTATTAATTTATAATTCAAAATAATAAGCTACTATTTTTCTGAAATTATGTTAGGCCTGTGGAGTAAGGGACAACACAGTAAATATTTTGATATTTATTCATAATATATTCCAGATATTTATTCATAATATGTCCCAGATATTTATTCATATATCACAGATACTTATAAGATATCACGGCTATTTATAAGATATCACGGCTATTTATAATACATCTAAGATTATTTATAATGAATCACAGATATTTATAGGATATCACAAATATTTATAAGATAGCACAGATATTTATAAGATATCAGAGATATTTATTATATATCACATAAGATATCAGAGATATTTATAAGTATACATCACAGATATTTACAAGATATCAGAGATATTTATTATATATCACAGATATTCATTATACATCACAGATATTTATATCCAAAGACTAGACTCAATAACAAAAGTTCATATATAGAAGTTTTTACAAAAAAAAAGAGAAAGTTATAAAGAAAGAAAAGAATGATTATTTAGGTAGACTGACACTGAGATATGGTTAAATTTGTTTGTACTGAAGTAAATTTATAGGTGTAATAGTCAGTGCCAGCAAGATTTTTTATATAAAAACTTTACTGATTTGCGATATGGTAGGTAGGTGAAATGATTCCAACATGTTGCATCACTGTTAAAGAGGGTTATACTGCCAATAGATGTTAGATAACGATAAGAACGAGTGAAGTAGGAAGGTATGATCTTACCCATCATCTGTTGTAAGGCCAATAAAACAAAGGTCTGAGGAATTACCGTTACACTGATGGCTAGGCTTCCTAAAATAAATAAATAAAACACAATGTATAAACAAAATTATTCGTCAATGACTGAAAAAACTTGAAGCATTTATTTGTATGATAAATAACGAGTCTTGGAATAAGGGTAATATCATATTCGGGCTTTGATCTCAACACATGTGATGATTGGGTCATATATACACCTGAGGTGTCCAGATTTTGGCATATATTAAAGATTTTACAGTACATGTGCATAGGTAATCATACTGTGATTATCTCCTCTTGTTTTTTTTTATATCATTTAATCAGAATGATTTGTGAGCACAAATGAAGGGTGTAGAGCAGGAGTTTCACTTCAAAAATTTGCCAGCTGATCAATTTTGACTTACCAGTTCTGTAGCAAGATTAGCCGATTTTTAATTTTAGTGTCATACCAATTTTTCTGTATAGTATTAAGTATTTTTACACACAAAAACTGTAAATCTCTCAGTATTTACTATGTTTATAGATTAAATTCTTTGAAATACTAGTTTTATGGCATGTAAGTTGTCTAGTTGGTCAATTCCACTGCTAATCACTTACGACTGACAAATATGACTAGAACAAGAGCTTAGGAGTAGTAGCTCTAATGATAACCAGGATATTATTAAATTATTCCAGACACACAAATTAGCCATATCAGCAAAAATGTACTGGTAACTCTCTCATAATTCTAGGTAACCAATACCTCATAGAATCGTGCTTTTCAAATTACTACATCAGCATTTTTGAGCATTATTAAATGAATCGGAAGCATAATTTAATATTCCTTCAAATGAAACATCATCCCAAAGAATCTTTTATTCCTGGATCATTATTATTAAGATAAACATTTTGGAGTTTCATACAATATCTGTATACAACTTGAAGAAAAATAAATGCATAAATATCCTTTGAATTACATACATTCTAGAAATACACTGTTCCGATTTACTTCAGAATATGTAAGCTTTAATCAAAAACACATTTATTATGTCATTAAAACAATGGACAGGTTTATTTATTTTTTGGCAATGATACTGGGTGTTCCTAATAGAATAAAAAACAATTAAATAAAGTGATACAGTGTATCAGTGTGTTGGTATTCTGTTGGGTTATCACATCTGAACTAAAGCATATTAAGTTCAAATTGATTGCCTGAGAAGGAGATATATGGAAAGAGGAAAAAGACCATTTGTTTGTTGAGCCATCTTAATACCTTTTACTATCAATCTCAGCTTATCTGGTATTAGATGCTCGTGCTTCAAGTATCTGTTTCACATATGACGATCAATAGTCATAATATTGGTAGGTTAATCGTAGCAATTTAAGACCTGTGTTGTAACCCTACAATCCCTGGATTCACGCTAACTGCTTCCCCTTCTGACTATACTATGATGGTAATATGACAGTCTAGTGCATTAAATTTGTATTAGATGTAGAATGCAATAAGAAGCGGAGCAAGGATAATTTGTGTTTATTGGTTATAGACAGAACGGTGGGTCGTGTTAAACTCATTGGGGTGGCAAAATGAAATATTACAGATTTATCAGACAGACCATCAGATGGTATGGAATGAAAGACAATTGCCTTGAAATGAAGAATCTCAATTCTTATCAGAAACATGATATCTAACATACAAATTTTATAGGAGTCATTTGGCATCCTTTTTCCATCAAATCTAATAGTTTCTATTATATCCAAGAGCCTCTACTCTTAGGCTTAAACGGTCAACCATTGCCAAAACACTGTCTTTAATTGAAGGAGACATTGGTAATTATTAAAATATTACAGGTGCTTTATCAAAACAAAAATTGGAAATCAATGGGAAGTGGTATCAAGTGTTGTAGGAGAAAGAAAGAGGGGCTGGGTTTAATGTCCACTCAACATAAATCTGGTCATTTCAGGACTAATGAGGTAGTGGGTGGAAACTGGAGGACCCAGAGATACCCATGAGGTTGGGCAGGCAACCCTACTCCTTGTCACAAACAAGCTTGGTACACTTTCTCAGTTGTAACCTTTTTAATTTATATTGTTAATTGCTTTTTATTTATTTTTTATTCCATCACAATTTTATTTTCAAATTTTATCATTTGGAATCAATCTGGAAATAACTCTCTGGAATGCAAATTTCGTGAATTTAGTATTCAACAAAGTAGGGTTGCCTATTTATTAATTGATATAAAAAATTGAGTAAGTGTTTCTTAAGTTGTACTGAATTATCAACTGATTGAACATGTGTTAGCTTTTATTTTACTTCAGAGTCAGAGATGTATTTAAATGATATTGGTATCTTGCGGACATTGATTTGAAATAATTCTTGAATCAAGTGCTCATTTATTTTCAAGTTTCCCCAATTACTTCAATAATAAACAACTTTAAAATATATCATTAATAGTTCTTACATCTGTTTATAAAATACTGATTCAACAGATTTCAACAACATTTAATTACTATACTAAGATATCTATCGCAAATTCTAAGTCTCAAAAACTTTGTTACACAGATCTCGTGAAAAAAAACCCAACGTAGTAATACGATATACTTGTACGTTCAAATATCACATTGCACTGGTGGCTAGGTGAGTATGGGGTGGGGTTGGATGGACGGATGGTTAGTGTGAGCTTGTTGTATCCTAAGATCTGTCATTGAGTCAACTGGCATGGTTTCAATTCCCTGCTTGTACGTGACAAGGAGTAGGGTTGCCTGTCCAACCTTGAGGCTTTTCTCCGGGTACTCCGGTTTCCTCCCACTGCTGAAGACCCCTATGCGCAAGCCATATGTTAGTCCCAAAATGACCTAGTTTGTGTCAAGTGGATGTTAAAGCCCATCTCTCTATCTCTTTCTCTCATGTGAGTATGGTGCTGACTGACTAAAGTCAACCAAAGGCATTGAACAGCCGTTTAAATGAAATCAAATGCAGATTTAACATCCTACTTTGCTGCACCAACAGGGCATGTACCATACAGTGTGTTATGAGCAAAATTTAGATTGGTACAGAGGCATTTCCCCTGTCAACAAATCGCAAGTCGCTAAAATACAAAAGTATTGCATCCATTTTATTTGACTGCCAATATACAGAATTGTTATCAAAAGTATAAAATACTTTGAAATTCATGAAAATATTCTCTGTTTTGTTATCCCTTTTAAAGAAAATTCTCCATTTTAAAAATATGGAAGGTAATGCACACCTGAGTTTTGTTAGTTAATGAAATAAATTTTGCCAATGTTCATGTCACCAACTTTATGTTATGTCATGAGAAACTATTGTAAAGACACAATAGTATATGGCTTGTTTCTTTTCAACACAACAGATCTAAAAGGCCATCCATTAAATTCTGTCATAATTTCTATGTTAAAATTACAAATGACTTTTTGTTGAATAGATCAAAAGACTAGAATTAATGAATAAAAGAACACACAGGACAATCTAACCTAACATTTTATCGCTTCAATTAAATATAATTTTAAAAGAAAAAGAAATGCTTGGTAAATGTTGCTTTCATAGGTAACTAATTGTCTATGGAATTTCATTGTCGAATTTGTTTGACAAAAGGAGATAAAAATTCTGTTGCTTAAATCCACTGGCAACAATCTATGGTGTGCTTGCATCCTTTTTAGTGAACAGATTATTACTTGGCAACAAATGTAATCCTTTGCTGGTTAGTGAATAAATGAGCCCTTGATGCACACAGGTCTTAAAGCATACTTGGTTAGTGAATATCCTTGGTGCCTTAGTAAACAGATTGGTCCTTGGCATGAATAACGCTAGGTGCTTACCAGCCTTAAAGCAATCTTTGTTAGTAAATAAATGGTGCACACAGGCCTTAAAGCATCCTTGGTTAGTGAATATCCTTGGTGCCTTAGTAAACAGATTGGTCCTTGGCATGAATAACACTAGGTGCTTACCAGCCTTAAAGCTATCTTTGTTAGTAAATAAATGGTGCACGCAGGCCTTAAAGAATCCTTAGTTATTAGTCATTGAGGTGGGAATATTCAACAACGATGTAATGTATCTCAGGAATGATTTTTAGCACTTTTTGAACCACAAAGAGAAGTGTGACGGCGAGGGTCAGTGTATATACAGCCAATGGTAAATAAGTTATTCACCACCATAAATTCTCTAGTATTCCTCATCTTATCGCCTAACACAGACAGTAAGACACAAGTGGCATTATTAAATAAAATTATTCCAACTCATATAACATCATTACTGATACTAATACTCTAGACATTAGGGTTCAATTGCTTTAACCTTCATACTCACTCATTATTCTACCATCAGATCAGTGGTGGCTGAAATCACAGAACTAACACATCCTAACAACTTGTTGCAGTTATAGTTAAGATTCATACCCAGTTTAATTTAACAAGCATATAACATTTCTCTGGATAGGCGGTCTACCACAGGCTTGATCATTCAGTCTTTAATAATTGTAATCTCCTACATCATTGAATTCCACATTGACTTAATTCTTGTCTCTCTGCATGACCGGCTCAAATTTTTCCCAAATTTTCATACAATCTTTAGTGCTCACAAATTTCCAGAAAATAAAATCATTTTCAGCACATCTTGGGAAATCTATGGGGTCCCAGAAACAAAACAAGACTATTCTATACCCAATTCCAGCTCCCTTTAATCAAATTTTCTTTTGTCAGATTAGATATAAAACTAACATCAGTGACTATAATCTGGGTACTTACTAACACTTTCCATATGTATTAAATCACAATAGAAATGGGACTTGAAAGTAGATAAATTGCATATTGTCCATCCAACTTCCAATCTGGTGACAATATTTAGTTTAAAGGTCATCTGGATGTCACATCAGGAACCAATAAGCTTTTTTGACACAAACAGAATTCCATTAAATCAATAAGACTCTTTGATTGTCACTAAGGGGAGAATTTGTATAGCATCAGGAACTGATCAACAGTTAGTTACTAAGTTAGCATCAGGAATCAGTCAGTATTTGATTATTAACCTAGGATTTGCACAAAAATAAGTCCCTGGGAACAAA